TCATGATGATCTTCTGTAGGATTCCGTGGCATGGAACAAAATCTTGTACTTAGAAGATGTCAACTTACTTCACTGAACTTGTGAAAGTTTTAACGTTTAGTGATTATCGATCCAATTCTATTCTATTATCCCATTATCTTACAAGTATCACTTGAACATTTCGGCTATTGTTTATACATTTTTCCTTCATCTTATTTATCAGTCGCTAATTTTGAATGTAATTTTGATAAACTATAATTGCTTTCTAACTGTCGATAGCGACAAGCAAAGATAGGATCGTAACACACGTATTGGTTCTGGTATATGCGATAGTTTACTAGTATGACATGTGACAAGAGACAAATTTGTTGTCGGTAATTGGAAATACCTGTTTGTCATTCAGATTATGAATCGTTTAACGTTCATAATTATGCTAAAGTGTAACCTTATCGCATAACATAAACGTACTTTTCTAAAGTATTAAACTTTTCTCGAGTTCTAACAATTTATAAAATTTAAATAAACCTTTAGAAATATTTAAATATTTATAAAATTATCTTTCTTCTTCACGATATTATCAATATTATTATACGTATATTGAATTTATTCGTTGTAAAAGTAACGCAATATATGCAATAAAAATTATATAATATCATTAGATAAATTAGTCGTCGTTATATAATATTATAATAGCAGCCACTTGAGATTATTTACTTTACTATTAGAAATTGATAGATAATATATTAATATTTTTTTATGATACCACTTAATATAAATAATTTCTATAAAGGCTCCGTTAGTCAATACTTAACAGTATTGTTAATGGAGAAAAATTTACAAAAGTCCTTAAATTAATTCTATCACTTCTATAAAAATTTGAATATGTTCACAATTAAAAATTAAAAAAAAATAAGCTGAATTAACTGCTCAAGTTTATATTAAAAATATTAATTTGTATATATTTTAAAAACTTATTTAGTCATGTTAAATATATATAAATATTTTATTTAGTTTCTTAAACTTATTAATAATATTATATGAAATAATAAGAATATTTATTGAAAAATTTAATAAAATTAAAATGACAACTCAGCTTTTAACAATTCTTCTTTAAATATTTTAAAGAAGAATTATTATAT